ACACTTTGGATATTGGTCTGTATTTATGTGTTTCCATATACATGTTTATATATGTTTAAAGCAGTTATTATAATATATATAATATATTATTATATAATATTATTATAATATTATAATAATATAATAATATAATATAATTATAATAATATAATATTATATAATATTATTATAATATATAATCAAATAAAATATTTAATAAAATTGGTTTTCCTCCGTGTAAGATAATAAATAAAACGTTTAAATTTTAATAAAATTTAATTAAAGATTCTTTAGATATATCGAGTGTAAGGAAATAATTAAACGTAGTAAAAATTAATAAAAATAAGGAATAAGATTTTTCGTACGAATTTTTTAAATCCTCTGTATAGAATATTTATTTATATGAATATTATTATATGAAATATTGTTTATTTATACGAATCTATAACACAAACGCATTGATGCAGATGTACACACGTGACAGAATGAATTCCAATTCGTCACACAGCATCTCCATTCCCCATGATTTGCACTATCGATGATTGGACACGCAAAATCGAGTTTCTGATTTATTGAAGCGAGCTTGGTACGTTATGCGATCCCTCTCTCTCTGCTCGAGGGAAAAAATGAAATTTAAATGAAGTTCTTATAGCGTGGAAATTAGACTTGAGTTTTGCGAATAATTGTTAAGTTACAGATATTAATATCGATCAGATACATTTTCTCTATAACTGGATTGAAATTTGGATTCTTTGAAAATTCCATTTCTTTTCTTTTTTTTTTTTTTTTTTTCGTATAATAACATAAATTTGATTACGTACAAATGGCCCAGACAGTTTCATCCTCCCCTATACATTTTTTGTAGAGTTTGTCGTGCTAATAGGCGCGCGCCATTTATACGAGAGAGTAACTTTTGCTTACACAGCAAAGTGGAGCTAATTTTTTGTCTAAATTGTTATTTCAAGAGGGGCTGCTTTTTTTTCATCCTTCACCCTCCCGATAAATATCCATTTCGCTACGACAATAACAACCCTCTCGAAGCTGACGATATTTGGAAGGAAAACTCCGATTGAAAATTTACACGACACTTCTGAAACGATACGTCGATTTCATTCTCTATAAAGATAACTTTCGACTTAACTTAAGTTCGTTCGTTAAGTTAAAAAAAAGAGTACTGCAAGAAAAATCGTCTCGAGTGATGAGAAATTCGTATGAAGAACGTGTCGGGGAAAAGCGAAGTTTAGCATAACATATCCTGGATATATGGATATATGGATGGAGAACGATAATAATCATAATATCGTTCCATTCCGACGAATTCTCTCCATTAATTCGCGAAAGCATCGAACCGTCCCCGGCAATTTTAATAACTCATGGTCATCGCGTAACACCGCCGCCGCCAGTTTCCCCGCTCGGCCATAAAACACTTTACAACTTCGCCGATAAAAAAGTTTCAACAATTCAACCCCGGCTTTCGGGGTAGAGGGTTTGAATCAATATCGGGTTGCTCGCGATTGGATCGTGCCGCGCCAATCGAGGCATTTCGCCGCGACGAGGGTCGAATTCTGCGGATTCTGCGCCACGAGGTACACGTTGTTATTGGCCAAGTCTCGGCCAAAGGGGCTGGTACACTCTGACAGGGTGAAAACGTGACAGAGAAATGGACGATCCTGGTTGAGATACGCCGAATTTCCAATTTTTACCCCTCACTCCTCGTCTTTGAACGTCTTTCCTTGAACGAGCTATGTCCGCAAAGATTTCGACGAGCCCGATGACTTCCTCTCGTTTTTTTTTTTTTTCCCTCCCCTTCCTAAAGTCGAGATTCACATTTTCCTCGGGGAAAAAATAGTAAAATGGCTATTGATAAGTTTTCATTTATTATATTTTAATTTATTCCATGATTTTTTTTTTTTTTTGTTTAATCGAGATTATCCTTGAAAAATGTACGGCTTTGATGGATTTCTTGCATGAAAAAGAAAGATAAATGGATTATATTTTTTATAATGATTTAACTTTTTTTTTCTAATTTTAATATTGTTGATTGAGAACCAAAAAGAAAAATTCAACAGAAAAGATATTATTTTATATTAAAATTCTAATATTCTAATGAATTGTGAAATATGTTTATCAGTTGATGATTTATTTTGATGTTTTAATTATGTTATAATTATCGTAGATTCTAATTCACTTAGTAGTTTATAGTATTTTTTTAATTCAATTGAATCTAATTCACTTATCAGTATCCTCTTATAATATTTTTTTAATTTAATTAAGTAAATATCGAAAATTGTAGTATCTAATTGTAGTAAATTTTAATTCAATACTGTTATCAATATTCATTATCATTTGTAATTTTAATTGTATATTATTTAGTTTGTATAAAAATTTAATTATTATGTGTATTTTGGATGCGTATTTTATGTATGTAATAAAAAAATATAACATTGTAAATTCTAACTTCATTGTATTAGTCGTCAGTTTCTAATTTTTTTTCATTGTGCAATCGAAAATCTAATATTTATAAATTTCAATTTTATTGGTTTCTAATATCGCAAATTATATATTTTATTAATTATTTCTAATATTGCTTATCTATATTTGTATAACAATTCTAGAAACCTGTATTGATTTCTAAATAATGTAAAAATTTTTGATATAAAAAAATATGTAATATATCTTTACTTCAATATTTTCTATTAAAATAAAAAAATAATTCCATATAAAACATCATTTTCGATATGAAAATAAACTATTTTTCTTGTTATATGCAAATTAAGAATTGTTATAAATATACTAAATCTGAAATATACAGAACTGCAATACAGTATAATGTGTATAGATATGTAAACAAATTTTCTAGAACCTAATTAAACTATGAAGTAATGTAAGATAAGAACATACATATGTAGATAATTTGCATATATTATATTCATAGATAAGTTAATTATCAATAATAATAAGTTGTTACAATTAGAATTTCAATATTCGTACTTCTTAGAAATCTGGATAATGCGAAATTTAAATTTTATCGTGAATATTTATTGTTACTAAACAGTTAAATAATATTATATTAATATTAAGTATATATTCTTATCAACGGTTACATTACAGATATAAATTAAAAATTAATAATAATTATAAATTAAATTAAAATACAATATCAAGATTATCTTAAGTATCATATAATATTTATAAAATATAATTATTAATATTTATTAGAAGCTTTAAATTGTTTATCTTTAATTAATTACTATATTATTTTTAATTATTAAATTTTATAAATATTATTATATATTTTGTAAATAATACAAATAAAATTATTTTTTATTGCAAATCATGCACGAAATAATAATGAATTTCATTTTAATTTCAATTCAATTAAATATTTAATCTAAATGCTTTTTAATTTGATTAAAGTTTGTTAGATTTTATATATTATATCCACATTTTTTAAATTTTATATTTCACATAAATAAATTTTACATAAAAGAAAACATAAATAAAAAAGAAAAAACAAAACACAAAAAAAAATTTTTGTAAAAAAAATGTTTTTGCCGCATTGCAGATCTGAAGTTATTTTTTTGGAAGCATCAATTTTATTTTTATTGAATTATACGCAAGATTTAACCACGACCTGTTTTCTCTTCCTCGCCTCGTTTAATACTGATTGTTACAAAGTACTTGAATGAATAAAAGATCAAATATTTGAACTTATAAATCTCAATTTTCGTGGCTAGGAAATCTCAATTTTTTCTGGCTATCAAAACCAAATTTAAAATTTTATCACTGTCTTATCCTAACGAAAAAAATATTAATAATTTATAATATATATTATATTTTAATGCATATATAAAATTTTTCAAGTGATTTTTATTTATTTATTTTTTTGTATTTTATACAATTGATAGAATAATAAATAATAAATAATATAATATTATTATTTATATTATAAATTTATAATAATTAATAAATTATTTTTCATCAAATTTTAAGATATTAAATCTAAGATATTAAAATTTTATATTATACATTATAAAAAAATTTTCATTATTCATCATTACAGAGTTCTAATTAGTCATCAGTTCTATTTTTAGTCATAATACCTCACTGTTTTATTATCTACATATGTATAATATTATTAAGAGTATAATAACATATACTATATTTTATACTATTTAATACCTCTTTCTTTTTTATGAAAAAAGCATTTCTAAAATGTATATAATTTAAAAATTCAGTTTTTAAAAATATTTATATTTTACTTGAGTTAATAAATTGTTTAATATTAATTATTAATACAAGAATATATTTATATATGTTATTTTATATTCATATCATAATATGAAAAAAATAATAAATGAAATCATTTTAACAAATATTAAAGCAATAAAAATTCATAAATATCTTTTTAGTTTTTAATAATTATTGTTTAAAATACTTCAAAATACTTGTTTAAAAAGTTATATATAAATATAATTCTTTTTTAGATAACAAAATTATTAGCAATTTTAATAAAAATTATATATAAAATTTATTATTTTTTCATATTTTAATATTTTATTTGAATTATATTTTCATAATTATATAGATATTTAAAAAAAATATATTATTTTTAAAATATTTATTCAAAAATATAAAAATATATGCAACATTTTAATTTGAATAATGAAAAGTATTATATTTAAGGAAACAAACAAAGGAATAAAAACGTATATTTTACTTGTCAAAAAAAAATATTCAGTTATATTATTAAATAAAATGAAAAATATATAACAAATATATTAATAACTTACATTAACACTATTCATTTCTAATTCTTTAAAAATTTAGTGAAAATCACAATAAAAGAATTATACACTTTACACCATACATTTTCTTAAATTTCGATTAATCGCTTTAATCATTTGAGAGATACATCGATTATTCGAGATATCGTTTAACTTTCATATAATCATACTTCACACTTCAATTTTCTTCATTATATCAATGCATTCATTATTATTAAACTTAAATAACTAATCTTTGTTTCTTTGATTAGTAATTTTATTATCAGATATATTTCATTATACATTTACAATCTTCAATAAACTTTTACAAATGCAATAATGTTGACGAGAATACCGAACTTACGAATAAATCGAGTCCTTCCTGTCTACACAGCTATTCTCGATACACGGTATATTCTTACAAAGTACGTATTCGTTTAACAAAAATCTTCTTATTATAGAGCTTCAAGAACGTAGTGATTGTACGACGTCACTTTTGCACACAGCATAAAGAACTACTACTTTGAATAGTTAGAATCGTATCAACGATTTCTTACTTTTAATTTTAAGTAACTGTCACGTTAGAAACGTAGAGCTTATCTATACACTCGTTCACCTATGGGAATGTAGTACCAGATCAAAAGAAAAAAAAAGAAGATCTATCAGATTTTTTCAAAAAATTGTTTTAGTTTTTGATATCTGATATGCTAATTTCAAATACAAAATTTTAGTACAAATGTTTATACATTTTTGCTAACACTACCTATAAATCAATGTATAAAAAAAAACAATAATTTTTTAAATAAAATATTAATGAAAATAGTTAAAAAAAAAATGTGCGCATAGCACAAACTTTTTTAATGAACGATGATAAAAAAATATATATCATACACAACCATCTAAATATGACAAAATTTGTCATATTTCAATATTACTGAATATCTAAAAAATATTATATTATCCAGTTCGATTTCACGCCTACTTTCTGTCACTTTATATTTATATTATGTCTATATATGATTTACAATGACAAAAAATATGACGCATTAAAAGATATATTCGAAATGATTGAATTATATCAAGCTGAGCATTTTCTTTTATCATGCTTTAGAAGCATTGACTGCTCTTTATTATATGTGTTAGGTCTACTGTAGATGAAGAATGTATTTATTGTACAAATGTTCAGCAAAAATGCATGTTTTACGAATACGATTAACAAGTGATAAAAATATTGGGTCAGTATGTAAAGGTAGATATTTATTTTTATACCTTTACTTCTGCACTGTAGGATCAAAAACAAATATTAATACAACTTTTTCGCCTGTGCTTCTTTATTGTCCCTGTAAACAAAAAGATTAATTTGAGTTCAATTTATATACATTATGAACATATCATATATCATACAACGAGATAAATATTTACCGGTACGTGCTATATGCTAATAAAATTATCATCTGAATTGCCACAAAAAGTAAAAACATTGTTGTTGTTAAACAATTCGTTGTTGGACAATCTGTTCCTCCACTGTTTACTTTAGTATTTAATTGAGTGATATCTCTTTTTAGTGTATTAAGTCCGTCTCTCATTTCAGAAATAAGAGAATGATAATCATATCCCATTTGCTGTACCTAAACAATAATAATTTTTAACATTATAAGCTAAAAAAAATTAACAAAATCAAATATCAATAGACACCTGAGCAGTTGGAGCTCTGGCCTGATTACTAAGAATGGTATCAGCTTTGGAATATACTTCATTTACATAGGACTTAATTTCTCTTGCAGTATTTAATATATTATTTTGATTGTTTAAAAGAGTATCGACTTCTTGCCGACGAATTGTATCAATCAGCTGTACTTGTTGTCCTGGTTGACCTCCTACTTGCACACCTATTTTTTTCATATTTAAGTTTTCTCTATACATTTATATTCTATTATATTAATATCAATTAATTGAAAGAAACTTTACCACCAACTTGAATTTGAGATATTAAACTTAAAGATCGCTCTTGTGTTCCTACTATGTTGTCTAATTTCCTATTTAATTCGCGCAACGCATCAAACATTTGACTTTGACCAGAGAAAATTTGTCGCAACTCCCTTTGATTATCAGTTTCAAAATATTCTTCGAATTCTTCTTTTTCACGATGTTCATCTGGATGATCTCTAAAATTAAATTACTTTAAAAACAAACTTCATATATTAAATATGCATTTAAAATCTACAATATTACCTGCGATATTCTTCTTTCCTTTGTTCTAATTTTTTCTGATAATCCATATATTCCTGACTAAGCTTTTGTTGTTCCTCCAGAGATACTTTTTGATCTGGCCTTAACTGACCAGGAGGATATAGAGAATGTGTTAAGAAATGAGAAACATCATGATCATCAGCCAAACCACCTAAATGAAATATTATTATAAAATAAATTAATTATATTGAAATAAAAATTAAATTGATATTTATTATATAATAAATACCAGTCGCAGCCGAAACACCAAAAAATCCTCCTTTTGGTAGAAAAACATCTTCAACTTGGAAACATGTTTCATAATCTTGTTCATTATTTGTCATACCATTATGGAATAACAGCTATAATTAAACAAAAATAAAAAATTATATAATAAATATATATATTTAAATATTATTATAATTATAATAAAATTAAAAATAAAATTAAAAATAAAATTAAAATTATAATAAATATTATTATAATTATATATATATATTTCTTATTTTATATATACACACTTACTGTTAAAGTATTCTTATAATATTCAATTTTGGCTCTTGTAGCAAATGGTTTATTACGAAAATCTCTCAAACAACCAGCACATAACTGTGTGGTACCATCACTATATTAAATTCAAAGTAAGGCATCATTTTTTGAAAATATTGAACATTAAAAAATTATAGTAAAAATTATAATTTACTTAGCATGATCAAATGTCTTTTTGCCATCATTGAGAACTGCCATAATGTAGGGGTTATTGTGTTTATTGTCATTGTCAAAAGAATCAAAAAAAATTCCAAGACCATGCCATTGGTCAGAGCTACCAAAGACAGTGCCATTATATGCACCCTTTTCACCGGTATACCAAAATGCTAAACCATCTGCTCCAATTCTTCCCCTTCCTGTTATTCTAAATATTAATTCAACTTCCCACCATTCAAAGGATGTAACAGGATGTTTTACCCATATAGCACCTATAGATATTTTTAATTTTTATTAATATAACATAATTAATATAAAAGAAATATAAATATACATTGTTAATAAAATGCTGATATATTAATATATATTTAATATATCAAATTTGCATGTTATAGTTTAAAATATTTTTATGTACATTAAGAATGTGTAACTGTTATTATAATTAATTAATGATTATAAAGAAAAAAAATAGAAATCAATAAAATAAATTTTTTATATACCTTTTTGACTTCTCAATGATGGAGCGACTCTAACATTTTCTGCACTAGCAATTGCATCTGAAATAAAAATTACATTTTTATGAATGATGTGATAAAAAATTATATATAAAAAAAAGAAAATAAAATAAAAATTCATAAATACACTAATTATCTACTATTATATATATTATGATAAAATAATAAATTTTAATTTCTGTATGTAAAAATATCTTGGATAATTAATATTATTTAAATTTTTAGAATAAATTGAATTAGAATTTCAAATGTAAATAAAAACATATATTATAACATATTTATTATGATAATTTTGATTTATTATGATTATTATGATAAATTTTATCAAGTAAATATTATCGTTTTAATACGTGCAAACACTTACAAAGATGAGATACGAATGAAATTAATATTTGTAAACGAAATGATAATGCATTTTAAATAAATAATCAAAAAGCCGACAGTAAGAAAAGAACATACGGCAATATTTTATGACACGCGTAATTGGTTAGGTTTTAAGTTTACTTACTTCCTCCATATTCCCAAAAAGGCACACTTCCATCTTTTTGTGCAAGATATGGTGGCTTAAATGAATATTTATATTCAAATTTTCGATGGGGTATCTCACCAAAAACTGCATAAATTACAGAAAACACATGAAAAATTAAAAGCCACCTCACCTCGGCGGCCATCTTCATTTCGACTGTTGAATCGAAAGTAGATTGACCGTAGTCGACCCTATAACCAGTTAAAACGATTGGTAGTATTCTCTAAATTCTCTTTTTGATTGGTGTATTATCAATGACGTGTCAATTTCATGGCCACATTTCAAAGATTTTATTTTACATATTTTTATATTATATTATTGATATATAATTTTTTATTTCCATATAGCTTATTTAATTCAATTAAAAATCAATTATTTGAAGAATATTTAGTGATTTTTTATTATGAATTTCATGTGTTAAATGTATATTCTTTCCCATTTGAAGACGTGTCATATAAAAACATGGCGTTATCATAAATAAAATGTCAAATAGATTTAGTAACCAATTTTATGAATTATGAAAATTTTTTATTAATTATTAATGAATTATATAAAAAATTTTCAATTTTACAAAAAAAGTTTTAAAAATTATTGGTATGTAAAATTTTACGATAATTTATACTTAGATATAAACGCTTTAGATAGCATAAACTTTAAATAAATCCAGATTTGTTTTTGTTATGGAATAAAAATAATGTAAAATATAATAAATAAATATGAAATATATTATAAACTTAAAATTTTTTAATAAAATATTTTATAAATCTACTTTTATAGTTTAATTTTATTACTCTCATTATTTATTATTTCTTATATTTCTTAAGTGAAATTAATTTATATTTCATTGTTGTAAATAAAATAAAAGTTTTAAAATTATTGTTATATTATTGATAAAATTTATTTATTCTTTTATTCAATCTATATATATATATATTTTTTTTTTAAATTGATACATTTCAATATGTATCATTTATTATTAATAAATTAAATTTATTTACATTCATAAAATGTACAGAATTATATATTATAAATATTTTAATAAAAATATCATTATATGCTCATATATTTATATAACATATTTTTCAAATATTTTTAGGAAAAATATATCCAAATGTGAAAAAAAATGAAAAAATAATAATGTTTCAAAAAATTAATATAAAATAATCTTTATTTGCTTTTTAAACAAAGAAGACATGAATCACGATCAGCTGTTAATATAACTGATAAAATATTTTTATTTTCTATATAAAATATTATTGTAAAATATAACGATGTATAATATATTTTTTCTATTAGCTGATTTCAGAATGTAACTTTATATATGTATATGTCACTTCATGCACATATAACAAACATTAACTTTTCCATTTATTCGTCTCCAATGGAAATACATTCAAGATGGCGTCACTCATTGACAACTATGAGCAACAATACGCCGTTTTGACAGCTGACATTACTGCAAAAATTGGTAGAATAAGAACACAAAACGGCAGTAAGTACAAGAAAAGTAGAATGATAATGATTTCTTTATTACATAGCACGAATCGTTATTTTTGAAGTATATTTTCTATCCTCTGGCATTATTAAACAACAATAATCGATACACGTGACGTAATTTACAGGTGAGAAAAGAGCGTTCATTCAAGATGTGGACAGACAAATCGAGGAGGCTCAAGAATTGGTAAAATGAAATACTTACTTATTCTTTTAGTTTTAAAGTGCTTTTAATAAATTAATATTTATATTGCAAAGTTCTAGAATGTTTATATCTTTTATTTTGGGGTTAGATATGACATTTTTTATTTAATTTTTTTCTCGTTATAAATATAAAATAAATAGAAACAAATTAAAATAAAAAAATTTTATATCTTAATATTATTGTATAAGTAATAGATAATTTTATAAAATTTATATTATTTATCATTATTCGATTTGTAGCTTGAGCAAATGGAATTGGAGGTTCGTGGGATAAATGGTGCAGCTCGCGATCGCTTACGTGGTCGAGTAGAGAGTCATAGAGCAGAATTAAAACGATTAACACAAGAATTTCATTCAGCCAAAAAATCAAAAGATGAAACTATTGAAATAAGCAGAGAAGATTCATGGGAAAATAATATTACAGAAGATCAGAAAAAAAGATTGTTAGATACTTCAGAACGAATAGACCGTACAGGAAGAACCTTACAAAATGGATATCGTATGGTATTAGAAACAGAAGAAATTGGTTCCCAAGTATTGAAAGAATTACATGAGCAAAGAGAAACAATTCAAAGAGGAAGAGGAAGAGTAAGACATTAATTTTTTAATTAATATAATACATTTTTTCAAACTTTTATATATTATTTCAGTATTGTGAAAATGATTACCTACGATTAATATTATTAATTATATTATTATGATTAATAATATTGAATATCTTTTATTTGTTTTTAGTTAAGAGACACAGATGCAGAATTGGGTCGTGGTTCACGTTTACTCTCAGGAATGATTTTTAGAAGTCTTCAACAAAGAATTATTTTAGCACTAGTAGCATTAACACTTATAATTGTTGCTTGTATCGTCATGTATTATAGCTTTAAATCTAAAAGCTAAAGATGAGAGTAGAATGAATCTTTTGGTTGGGATAATGGCTCAGGAGCCATATTAAATTTCACTGCATTTCAGGTATTATGATTATTGAATACAATGTTTATTAGGGGATTATTAAATTATAAATTGAAGGAATGTTATATATCATATCCTTTTATTAATCTTTTTCACTTGTTTGGAGCATTTAATATCATTATAATTTAAGCATTCTAATGCCCACAAATCTTAACTATAATTTCATATAATATAGATATATCACTACACAACAAGAGACGCTTAAATATGACAGAATGCCGCCAAACAGTGAAGAAATATTCTAATATATTATTAATAATTATAAAAAATTCAGCTGTCGAACGGTATTGTCAGTGAGCATTGTTCACAAGCAGAATTTATTAAAATGTTTGAAAATATTTGAGATTATCTTTATTACTTTTCAAATTGTCCGTTTTTGCAATCAATTTTATTACGTGAACCTCAAGTTTTGTTTTACATATCGCAATCGATTGCATTTTACGGAAACGAATAATATACATATCTTAAAGTATTAAATTATAATTCAAAATTTAATTAATTATTGTTATCAATAAAAATATACATCTATAGCGTACCATTAAGTGAATCGTAAAAGCGATAATAATTTGTATCAAAATACAAGGATGGGATAACGAAGAAGACTGTAAATATACGTGACAAGTATCGAAAAATGATTATAATCAAGAGAAAACGAGACGCCTAATAGTAATTCATTTTATTATAACATTATCAATATTTTAATAATCTAAACGATGTTTTCTTTTTATTCTTTCTTGCGTCGCTATATATGTAATCATGAAAAAAATGATATAATAAAAATATCGCGGAGTAATAAATATTCGATGATTTCTTTGTAAATGCGACGCAAACACGCCTCGATTCTTCTTCGCGTTTTTGTATCCGATGCTAATGAAAACAGAATCAAAATCGATGCTCAGTCTGATCAATCCAACTGTCGATAGAGATCTTCTATCTGTGGCTTGAAGTAATCTTTTAACTGAGGTCGTTTCATTTTCAATGACGGTGTGAGCAGACCATTTTGTATAGAGAACGGATCTGGATGTAAATAAATATCTTTCACCTGTAATATAAACGTTGCCTCGAAATGTAAAACTATTCATATCTTCTATTTTAAAATATTTTTTAATTGTCAATAAGATTAATAAATTAATCTTATTTTATGATTTTCTTTCTTTTGATATATTAATAATAAAAATATTTATAAATGATTTAAAAGAATGAAACGAAAAAATTTTTTTCTAAATTATGATATCGAAAGATTTGATTTTTCTTACCTGTTCGAAAGATTTGAGACCGGCTTCTTTTCCCCATGAAAGCATATCATCCATGATCAATTGTTTGACTTGCGGATTAGCACATAATACGCTCAACGTTCCTGGTATACCGTTCTCCACTGCCCAACATTTTACGACATCTACGTCTGGTATTACTATTCCTACAACGCACGATTTTAAGGATTCCCCGTGGACGAACACTTGATGAACGTATTGACTGCGTAAATAAATATTCTCAATTTTCTCTGGAACTATGTATTCTCCTTGCGAAAGCTTGAAGGTGTGTTTCCTTCGATCGATTATTTTAAGTGTTCCATTCTGTAAACAAAATAAAAATTATAATTATTAGTTTTTATTTTCTATTTCTTAAAAAAAAAGCAAAATTAAATTAATTAAATAAAAAATTTAATAATAAAACCAACCAAACCAGTAATGAAAAATGAAAGATTTTAAAATATTTTTTATAATCTAATTCAAAAGAAGAAAGATAAACTTTAATTGAAATTTTTTTATATCATTATTATTCATAAAATTTTATAAATAGAAATAGAATTTGTGATTTATATATATATCATTTCTAATTGTTCATTTAGAAAAATTTAAATTGAAAAATTATCAAGTTCTAACGCAGAAATAATATTCTTACATAATTTTTAAAATAAAAAAATATGTTTAACAATATCTTTTTTGTCTTACAGGTAACCACATGCCAACGTCACCGGTATGATGCCAACCGAATTCATCGATAGCTTGAGCTGTTCTTTCCGGATCTTTAAAGTAGCCCACGAACACGTTGGTGCCTTTTACGCATACCTCACCTTGGTTCTTCTTCGCATAATATTCCATTTCCGGAACGTCTACCAATTTAATGCAACAACAGGGGACTGGTGGTCCTACGTGTTCTGGTACATGATCACCCTATAATAATAATAATAAGCATTAACATAAAGTTCAGATTTTTATCATTGAATACGAGATTCACATTTATGATATTTTTATTTTTAATATTGTATTATTATACTTTCGAAAGATAAGTAAATGCTTCAAGTAAATGGTTCATAATTACTCGAAAAATTTACTACAAATATTATTATTGTATTTATTCGATTTATGTATTGTTATGTATATTACATAACAATATTGTTTCGTAAAAGAAAAAAATCTAAAATTCTGATTGGAATAAATCGGTGTATCAATTGATTCAAAGATGCAACATTTGACAGTAATCATATTTACACGGTTGA